TGATTTGACACTATCCATTCAATTGCATACATATGGATGCGTATTTGATCGATTGACGATGGTCCATACTTAGGCATGAACCATCGTCGATCGATGAAATACGTTTCAATCGATGTATGTATATACATCGTTTAAGTACGTGAAACACTAGGCAGGATCTTTCGTAAATTATTGTCATTGTTGCACAGTTGACAAAATAGAAATTTGTTTTTAAGAATATTATTACAACGATTACAATTAACTGTAAATATAGAATGCTTAATATCGTTGGTAGCAGGCGTGGGAAGTGTATAGTTTGCGTGTTAAAATCTTGTTCTTTGAGCGTTCATTTCTTTGCAATCCTCCATCAACTTATTAAGCGTTTGGATGCTCTGGTGATGAGCGTATTTGTTGAGTTTTAGTCATGACTGATGCTTGCTTATACATCCAACTAGGATGGATTAGAATCAGAGGACGAATACGAAGTTAGAATTAATGGGGGCTCATGCTAAGCGCTTGAGATTTTGATGATTCCGTTTAAACAACCATTATTGCTAATAATCGATGTGACAAGATGCGCGTTAAATATTGTATTGATAAGGGAAGTATAAAAGTAGAAGTAATCATAAAATTTACAGAATGGGTGTGATACCGATAGTGATGTGTGCCGAACTGAATACGGTGCTGGGTGCAGGCATGATATTCGCGTCAGGAACTGTGTACGGCTTTATGGCACTCGGCAAAAAAGCTGATCTGAGTGGTGCGGGTGCTGGCACTGACCCGGCGTGGAACGCTAACCTCACACAGCAAACACCACCATCATCGTTCGGCAATCCGTCTATGGCATAATTCAATTCTTCTCTCTGATTGATTCGCATCGCTGACATTGTGATAGTTCCGTTGTGAGATCGTTCCAGTGAAAAGCGTTAACGATGCCATCAAGCAATCGCAGAACTGCAATCGTCGATCGAGAAACGCTGAATATTGTTGTTGATACGGTATGAGTTGATTTGCTTCGATCACAGAGTTCGCTTGTGATCTCTTTTTGAATTTATTTTTATATGTTATATTCAAGCCATTCGTCGTGTTAATTATTTATATATCTGTTTTTGGATCTTTACTTTTCGTTTGTTCATTAATAGCATTTCATTGCTTTTTGACTATGATTCGGTCTTATTGATTAGTCTATTTGATTGATTCTTCAAAAGATTCACTGTTCACATTGATATTTCTGGAGGAACTTTTATTGATTACTCATAAATATTCCAATAATGAATCGATAAGTTATCTGTGAATTTCTACGATGAATTGAAATTATTTTCTGATAAGGTGATTCGTTTCGTTTTCTATGTACTAATCATTTGTTTATTGAGTGACTCAGTAAAAGAATACTCGAACAGAGATGCGCACTTACGACTGTAGCTTTATTTGGCGCCGTTCTCCTCCCATCAATGAATTTTCGTCGTTGTTTATTTATTCGTGTTTCGTGTAATTTGTATAAGTCTCATGATAGCGGTCATTTTATTGTGGGATGTGATGTGGTACGATTTGATATGATATAATTTGTACTGTGAATGTGATAAATAAGAAATTTTATGTTTGAATGGTTTATGATTTATTGTAAGTTGTTAAGTTTTTTACACTCGTTAAGTATTGTTGCCGATTTCGAATGTCAGACCTGAAAAATGCATATACCACAAACATTCAGTCACTTTGTGACTCAAAACACTTCGTGAATCAAAATCAAACCGAAAGTCGTAAATTGTTACGTTTTGATAATGTACTCAAACGTTTCATTGAAGTAGAGTTGAAGAACTCCAAATGAGTATGAATTAAATTGAGTTGTTGTTTTCATGGGAACTTGTGGAGAAGTTCCATTTTGTATTGCAAGCAGTCGTTGATAATTGCTGTTGCATTCCTTTCTTATCGTTGCAAAAAAAAAGCTTTTTTCCAAACTTTATTTTCGTTCGTTGCGTAAAACTAGATGAGTACGCATTATTATATTATCGTTATTGTTATTATAATAGAATGCATACGTTTATTAAATTATTTATTATTGTGTAATCGTAAAGTGGTTGTGTTCGCGTTATCGATGTATACGTTATTATTGTTCTTGTCACTATCATAACTGTATTGTTATGCTTGTTTTTAGTCTTCTTTAATTACTTTATTGTCAACGAACATCATAATAATTTCAGTTTTATTGTCTCTGAAAGATGTGACATTCAATAATTTTTTGGTAAATTCACTCCGAATCACATAGACGAGAATAACAGCTCAACTGTAGTATTAATAATAATAAAATAAACAATGCTGAATGGTTCATAGGGAGGCAGTTTCAAAGAGGAGTTNGTGTACGCTTATAAAAACGGTTATAAGATGCAGCGAAGCACTGATATAATACTGGTGATATTGAGAAATGTACCGTAATGCGATAGCAATACTGTTACAGCACGATATTATGCAAAACAACAATCAATGATATTATCCATTATTCATAAGCACTATCATTAGACATTGACTACCAATTATATACATATGGGGCAGCAGTATAACTGATCACTTTTCATTCTGTTAAAATAATTGTTTGAAATATTTTTAGAACATTAAAATCAGTGTGAAAAAGTTAATTATTTTTTGAACTTTAGAAATGTTCTAAAAATAGATATTTTCATTCTTCAAATTTCGAAAGTTCAAGAAATAATTAACTGTTTCCAAACGACTGAAAAGTTTCATTTGAATCAATCAATGAATGAATATTGTTTACCATATCGATTTGACACCTTTTATCTTCTTAATAAGTAAACAAAATCGATTCAACGGATCACCAAGTTTGATCAGTTCATTCACAGTAACACCCCAAACTTGTAATGGCTCTCGTAGAATTTGATACTTCTGCAAAGATCATATTCAGCCGAATCATTATTTATTAATTCAAACAAATCAACAAAACGAACCGTATCAGGAGTATCATCTCGGTAAATGATATGATCGTTGACGTTGATACAACTCACTGCTTCATCGTATTCCACTGTCAGTCTCTTGTAGCGGAATGTTGCTTCACGCTCGATACGCTTAATCATTTATCACTATAACACTCAGCTCCGAACAAAGATATTATTATTGTCATTATCTGGTGTCAGTTGTCTTCATATTCACTTACTAGTAACTTTAATAGAACTTTCTGTTTTTGTTCTCAATATAAACACAAATCCGATATTCAGTCTCTGTAATCGTTCGTAATCTGAATAAACTAATAAAATCTATTCATTATTTGTTCAATCCATTTACATATCTGTATCCTTTGCTGAGGATATAGATATTACCGTTAATTACCGTTAATATTGATATATTTACCGTTAATTTCCAACGGTAAATTTTTAAGTGATTTATTTCCAATTCAACTGGAATCATTGCTTTCAATACAACAAGAGATCAATTTAAACATATTGCGAACGTTTCGAAGAAAGTAATAAAATCAACAATTCAAACAAACAGTTATTTCACCTGTAAAACAATTTTTGCCTCTTTCGAATTTCCAACAGCAAGAACATCGTTTGAAACCACCGACATGTAATGCTTCAGTGGTTTACTTCCTGGTAATGGTATTGGGATTACGGCTAAATCAGCGAATGTTCGACCAACGACCTCAAATA